GCAAAGATTGAAACTCAGATTTCAATTGGTGAATACGAGGTCCATTGGAACCTCCATATCTGGTCTTCAGATCTAACCATAATTCATGAGCAATTTTATGGGAGATAATGGAAGGTTGGATGTGTTCATCAACACTGTTACAGATCCAAGAACAAATTATGGAATTATTAGCTTTCCATGCCGCCAATTCCTGTTCATCAGTGGGTTTAGGAAACCCGGAAGGATTGAGAAAATCTGCTCTGCTACGCCCTTCTAGAGCGTTAATAATTGTTTTCTCCCAAATATCATAATTATCACCTTTGAGAAGATGCTTCGTCAAGGAATTACCCGCACTTTCGAACGGGTGGATGTAGTACGGAGAGGTAGGGTCGTGGATGAGCCTGACCTTCTTTGTTCCTTCGCTTGCCATGGAAACGAAGATAGTACCGGCGTGAGACAGTGATTATGAGTCCGACGTGAGCCGGCGCTGCAGCGGTGGTGATCGACGTGAGCCGATCGAAGAGGGGCGACCGTGGTGTGGCGGCCCGGCGAAGCGACGGTGGCGGCACCGTGCGTGAGAAAAAAAAAACTAGGGTTTGAGAAGTTCCCGGGAAATTGGCTCCGATACCATGTAGAATTTTGGAAAAACTGAACTGCGTTTCATTCAATATTCACAACGTATATATACATGTGCCAAGTCCTACTCCAAGTATGGAAAGGACTACTAACAAGGAAACTACTAACAAGGAAACTAATTACAAAGGAAACTAATTACATATATGGTAGTAAATAAATATATATGCTAACAATTCTTACCCAAAAAATCTTGCAAAAAGTAATGAAAAATTCTTACTTTAACCAAATCAAAATCCTCGAAAAGAAATTGAATCTCCTATTCCCCCAAAGAAACTCACGTAGTCACATGAATGAAAAAATTTTAAAAATCGAACTTAAATTTACCCGAGATGGTAACACGGGAATGGAGAGGGGCAGTCGAAAATTCTGAGAGAAGAAGAAAGTCACACTAGATGGAGAGAACATTATGGATGCTCGAGATACAAAAGCTAATAATTGCTAGGAGGTCCTGGGATTAAACAGTGGCCATCCGGAGAAATGTGCAGCCGCCATGGTAGTAGCTTGAGAGACGGAGGAAACGGCGGTTCAACGGAAAGAAGAATTAGGAATTACGGAGTAGTTTAGAATTGCTATTAGGTCCCTGGGGGCTAAACAATAAAGAAACAAATACTTATGGGTGGGGTTCCCATGACATTGGGTTTTAATGTCATGGGATGACCCGGGGATGCTCCGGTGTCCCGTTCGTAAAATTGACGGTTCCTACCCCCCTAACCCCCCCCGGTAAACCCTCACCCTGGCCCCGACCTGAACACACCCCCCTACCCCCGTCAATGAAATCGCATAAACAAAGTTATTGAGAAGAAAGAGAAATAAAATTAGACGGAGTAATCTATTTAGAAATAGAGGAAGTATCACATATGCAAGAGTAAATTAATAAACGGATGGTAGATATTTGTTTTGGATAATGGATGGAGTGGGTGTAACGGCGGAATAAGAGACTGATGTAAGATTATAAAAAAATTCTCAAAACTTTCAAAATCATTTCAATTAGAAATTGATATAGAAATAAAAAATAATATTATAAATTATAACGTCTAGAGTACATTAAGAAAAATACAACAAAACAAGTGGTGAGAATAATATTTTATTTTATTAAATGATTAATGAAACATACAAACAAATAAATATAATTTAGATGTCGTAATAGCAGTAACAGGGGCATCCATTTGAGTACATAAAGTTTAATTTAACAGCAGCCCTATGGGTGTTAAATTTTGACACTCACTAGTTCACTACCCAGTACAATACAAACACACACTACTGTGCTATATGCTAATGTAAAATGAGTTGAGCAATTGGAGAGTTAACTCTGGTTCCCTTCACGAGTTGGCATACTACTTGACGTTGCTTCTCATCCATTACCATAGACTCTTGTTTAGAGCTCTTCTCCCATTTCCCTCCTCCGACGTAATACTCATAACCCTTGCTGATGGTCATACGCTCAAGACACACAGCAATTCTAAGGATATATGAAATCAATTCCAGCTCGGCCGCGTGCCCATGAAATCCCCCAATCTCCACTTCTTTCAGATGAATATGCTCAGATGTTAGGTTCCAGTCAGGCCTTGCCGGTACTCCATAGTCTATTGTCCCATTTGTCTGCAATATACAATACATATTTACTGACTGCATTAGAGAAGATGCATGGTTGCCACCACATATATTAGATTGTTGCCATATAACATAAGTTGCATCTTTTTTTTGGCTTCAGAGACAGACAGGGTCAAGTAAATAAACCGACACACGGATATGACGGACGGCATTACACATTAGAAGACACAAATTCAGTAGTAAGTATGGTCTGTTACAAATGAATAATAAAGTAAAAGCCAAATATAGAATTACTTACCACCAGATGGAATTTGCGTAGAAATGGCGAGCAGCTGATTATGCTGGCAATATGTTGAACACCACACATGTCTCTAAAGTCTACAAGTACATATACTTCCTTCAAATTGACAAAATTGTTCAACTCACGCCCTCCTAGTGAGGAATAATACATCTGGCATAGTAGGTGGCCGGGTGCGTGTGATAAAAACAACTATTAGCAAATCATCAGTGGCATCATAGTAGAGTTTGGGGAAACAAATAGGAGAGCAAGAAAAAGGAACATAGGAAAAGAAACACAAGATAATATACACATACCTCACTGAGCCGTGATTCAACATGTAAGGTTTCAAGTTCAGGCAGGTTCTTGACAACTTCATTAATAATATATGACAAATGATCAGAGTATTTTAACCTAACAAAAAGGTGTTTCAGCTTCGGAACAATGCGAAGAAAAATATTTATCTTTTGGGAGCAAGCAATTTCCAAGCTAGTCAAATTCCAAGCCCAAAGAACTATGTCCTTTACCCCGATACAACTTGTCATTGTGAAAGACTTCAGCATATGGCGCCCTACCCACATAAGTAAACTAGAAGGAAGTCTACAATATGTCAACATTAAAGACTCGAGCTTTGGACAGGCTGAAAAGATGCTGCCCAGTTCATCATTAACTAATGAGACTGCGTCCAACCTAAGCAGCGAAAGGGTCTGAAATTTTCCCTGAAAAGAAAGTGTAATCAGACCTCTTGTGCTTCCAGGGTCATCACAAGAAAGCCTGAGCACAAGTTCCTCTATGTTTGACCTAGCAGCATATCTCATCCATCGCTCAACACGACTGCTGAATTCTTCCCCTAAACAACATGACAGCTGAAATGATTTAATATTGTGTCTCTGTTGTAGCTGTAGGAAACGATCCATAAAAGTCAAGATTCCATGGTTGTCCCAGTAACGACGGCAAGCGCATTGTCGTAGCCGTATGAAACGATCTATAAAAGTCAAGATTCTACACTTGCACCGATCAAGGAGACCAGTGTCGTCTTGCTGGCTTGAAGGTTCCTTGAATGCACATGGACACTTCAACGACAATCTGGGGAGAAAAACATGGAGGTTTCTCCATCTTCTAGACAAAATGCTAGTCCTTACAGCATCTTTTGTAGGTAATTGGGAGAGTATCAAACACAGGACATCTTCTGGCAATTCACTAATCAAGTCCTCCCCGTACTTGTTGCAGACCTAGTGAAATTACAAGCAATAGCCTTTCAGACAAAGTGCAAATAAAAGAGCCAAAGAAAAAAAATGTGTCTAGCAAAGGTGAAACACGATAAGTGTAACCACATGTAATAACATGATAGTACTCACTACTCACCTGGCTTCTTTTGAGAGAAGAGCAAATAATTCCAATTCCAAGTCCAAGTCCAGTCACGGCTAGTAATGGCAAAAGGACCCGAGGCTGAGACCATGATCCTGTTACAAGATGGATGTTTTTTAAGGTTAATTGTACAAAAGATATATACTTTCTAAATCATACACCGCCCAATAACCCATCAATATTGCTATTACTACTAAAACCGACAAGACAGTTGACAAAAAACGGGGCTACACTGGAAAACATATCCTTTACTTCATAGAAAAATGCTTCTCCTCATCCTTCTTCTCCTTAATAACTGCAATGCACTTCATTGATAACCAAACAAGGATTGACACCGGAGAGTAAACCACCTCAAGGCCTACAAACAGATCGCAAACACAGCTACTGGACTCACACAAGCTTGAATCTATTTGTGAGATGGATAATAATGCAGTTCTTAATGATATTCACAACACTTTCTTCATCAGCTATCAACTTTTGGTGTAGTTTGTCATTCCTTGTTCTCCAAACATGATAGCAGCATTCTGCCAACTACCCATCACTATCCATATTTGCTTCCTAGGCTTAATATTCATGATCTCCAACCCTCATTCATCAAGCCCTGCCCCATGGATGCTGCAAGAGAGCAATGCCAGAAGAGACGGTCGAATTCTCCCGCTTCCTTTTCACATAGGGCACACAAATCAGGAGCAATACTCATATATCTAGCTAATCTACATCTGGTTTGACCGTTTGAAGTATTCTCTTCATAGTCAACCAGAAAATAAGTTGATGTTTAGGCAGTGTGTATCTACTCCAACTCCGGGTAGACCATTGGGGAGTGTCCTTGTGACCTTGTAGCCATACGTATCCTTTGTTAGCAGAGAAATCAACATCCCTAGGCATATTTTGAAAAACTTCTCTAACCTTCATCATTTTCCTCCAGTAATAAACGCAATCATACCGAGGGATGTAGTCCCAGAAAGATGAGTCCTTAATGTACCTACTAGATCCTTCTTGATTGCAATGTCCCAGTTCAGTGTCATAACATTAGGCTTATTCAGATTTGTTGGGTTCTTCAATTTAAGGCCTCCATTCCTTTTTGGGATAGTAATATTATCTCAAAGGGCAAGTGGAACCTTCCTCAACTCATGACTCCCACCCTGTAGATAGTTTCTACAGAGGGCTTAAACCTTCATCATAAGAGTACTAGGGTAACAAATATCCGAGCCCAGAAAGTGATTATTCCAATCAAAAATAGAGTTAAGCAGTTTTACTCTTCCAACATATGAGAGGTATTTAGTGCTCCAGGAAATAATTCTAAGAGTAATTCTAAGGTATTTAGTAAATGAAAGAGCTTTCAGTAGGAGTAAATTCACGTGTGTTCTAAAATCAATGGAAATCAACTTCGGCATCTACATAAGCAATCTAAAAGTAATCAACAAAATAATATTGCATCGCCTAAAAGATTAAATTTTTTACAACACCAACAATCTAATTTAAAAAAAAATCAGTAAAAACAAATCAAGCTTAGATTAATGAAGAAAAAATTGATCCATCAGAGAAGAAAAAATGTCACCTTGCAAGTTGTTGAAGCCATATGATATAGACATTATGAACCCGTCACAAATTCTTTCTTCTTCAAAACTCTTCTTCTACCAAAATTCTTAAGCTGATAACAAATTATACCAAATTATCAGGCGGATTATAGATCTTGGAGCAAAAGCAATCCGTTAAGAGACAAAGAACTCAGAAAAATAGAAGGTGGATGTTACAGTGTTAAGTTTTTCACATGAATGTATTCATACAGCGCAGAAAATGTAGTAGCAATTTCTCAGTTCCTAGATAGAGAGCTACTTAGAGAAGAAACAAGAAACTGTCAATGAATACAGTAGTCACTAGATCTTAAATTGCGCTGATGACTATAGTACAATGGGTTATCAGATTTCTTTCTGTGCTGTGGTCGAAACGAAGTTAGGTTGTGGTTGAAAGCATATGTAATACTCCCTCCGTCCAAAATTAAAGTTCTCGGTTTGACCGGGCACGCATATTAAGAAAAAGTGTAAATGTAGTTGACTTTCCCAAAATGCCCTCCAATCCCCTCACTAATTCCTTGGTCCCTCACACTTCCCCTGTTGCGCAGAAAATACGCACAAGCAACAGGAGAGGACGAGACGGCTGCCTTGATGCTCCAGCGATACCTCCCGTCGTCTCATCGTTGCTCTACGGCGTGACCTTCACCGGCAGCCTTGCTGCTCCACCTTTGCCAATTTCAAAAAGAAGAAAGAAGAAATTTGGGGTCTCTAACTTGGAGTCATCAGATCTGTAGAGATATGATACCTCTTCATCAGATCTGTGAATAATTAAAGATGACGTTGCAGGGTAGAGGAAGAAGAAATGAAAGAAGGAGAGAAAAAAAAGAAGAATAAAAGATTGAAGAAGAAGAAGATGGGGGACGGGAGAGGAAAGAAAATAGAGAAAAAGAAAAAAAGAAAGAAGAGGAAGAGTGGGGAAAGAAGAAAGAAGAAGAAAAGGGAAAAAGCAGAATCGGAAGTAAGAGGAAGAAGAAAATAAAGAGAAGGAAAAAAGAAGAAGGGTGGGGGTGGTTGCTGCCCTGGACACGGAGAAAGGAGAAAAGAAGAAGGAGTAGGGAGGGTAGTAAAGACCTTTTACCATAAAAAAGTTTCCAAAAGAGGAAATGGGAAGTTTATTTGTGGACGGATGAAAAAGGAAAGTGGGAACTTTAACTGTGGACGGAGGGAGTAATTGGGAGAGAAACAATCGTGCAACAAGCATGGATAAAATTGAGAGACAAAGTCTATGACTGTTGAGGATATAATTAAGTGTTGTAATCGATTACCTTGGATGGTCATCCACGTACCGCAATCGACAATAAACTATGTATAAAAATCCTAGGTAGAGACCTACTTAGGGGAGAGACAAAAACTAGTCGAAGTATACAGCAGTCGGATGAAAAGAAATATAGACGAATGCTATCTATCACATTTCTATTTAAAAAGTTACTTTTACCCCTACTAATTCTTAACTTCCCTATCACATCATACATTTCACTATTAACCTACTCTACTCATCACATCAAAGGGCATTTTTAAAAAGTCAACATTAAAATACATTCTCTTAAATCCTTTTAGAAGTCAAAACCAAAAAGGTTTTATGGGACAGAGGAAGTACATTTTATAGACTTTTGTTATGGATGGATTGATGTTCGTGTCTCCATACCTTAGATAAAAAAGGAAAAATTATTTTCACTTTATTCTCTAAACTTGAGATTTGAGAACCCTAGCTTGTCTCTAAAAAAAATCCTATGTATGGTTTGTATAAGCAACATAAATAACATGAACGAGACAAATGTTACACGAGCTTTATTGTGTGTAATGATGACTTACAACAACATATAGCATTCAAATTTTAGTTGACTATCAAAAATCAATGGAAACAAACAAAAAATATAAAAAAGCAGGGGTGGTGTTTCTTGGATTGGATTCGTAAAGTTGTTTGCAACAATGTATCGGCCCCGAATGGTCACGAATATGTTTTCTGTAGAATAGGGTTTGCTATCCAGAAAGGGGTGACGGCGCAGCTTGGTGCCCGCTTACCTACCACCTTGATGTAATCTTTATTTCATCAAATGAAAGACCAGATTCCCATAAAAAAAGCAGGCATATATGAATTCCAAATAAGTGGCACAAGAAAGCTAGCCAACAGTATATTAACCTCTTCTTTGTGTAAATTGGGCGTTTGTGATGTTCACACTTTCTAGGTCTCGAATTAACAAAGAAATTGAAAACAAAACAACGAAAGTAAGAGACTGAGTGCTGCAATCAATTACATTGGCAATTCATAATAAAATATGTATAAATATCTTGGGTAGAGAGTTTCTACAGAGGGCTTGAACCTTCGTCATAAGAGTACTAAGGATAACAAATATCCGAGCCCAGAAAGTGATTATTCAAATCAAAATAGAGTTAAGCAATTTTACTCTTCCAGCACATGAGAGGTATTTAGTGCTCAAGGAAGCAATTCTAAGAGTAATTCTAAGGTATTTAAGTGAATGAAAGAGCTTTTTGTAGGAGTGAATTCACGTGTTTAAAAATCAATGGAAATCATCTTCAGCATCTATATGAGCAATCTAAAAGTAATCAACAAAATAATGTTGCATCGCCAAAAAGATTATATTTTTTACCACACCAACAATCTAATTTTTTTTAAAAAAAGCAGCAAAAACAAATCAACCTTAGATTAATGAAGAAAACATTGACCCATCAGAGAAGAAAAAACATCACCTTGCAAGCTGTTACAGCCGTATGATATGGAAATTATGAAGTCGCCACAAATTCTTTCTTCTTCAAAACACTTCCTGTACAAATTCTTAGGGTGATAACAAATTTTACAAAATTACCAGGCGGATTAGACCTTGGAGAAAACACAAATTTTACATAAAGGATAAAATAATCTAATCCTAATTTGTTTTGATAATCTTTTCATTTTTATTACTCCATAGTTTACACGGAGTAAAATAACGCCTAAATTTTCTAACACACGGAAGCATTTTGATAACAAATATGCTCTCTCTCTCTCTCTATATATGGATTGTTTTTTCTCCAAGGTCTAATCCGCCTGATAATTTGGTAGAATTTGTTATCACCCTAAGAATTTGTACAGGAAGTGTTTTGACTAAGAAAGAATTTGTGGCAGCTTCATAATTTCCATATCATACGGCTGCAACAACTTACAAGATGACGTTTTTTTTCTCTGATGGGTCAATCTTTTCTTCATTAATCTAAGGTTGATTTGTTTTTGCTGCTTTTTTTTTAAATTAGATTGTTGGTGTGGTAAAAAAAATTAATCTTTTAGGCGATGCAACATTATTTTGTTGATTACTTTTAGATTGCTTATATAGATGCTGAAGATGATTTACATTGATTTTAGAACACACGTGAATTCACTCTTTCATTCACTTAAATACCTTAGAATTACTCTTAGAATTGCTTCCTGGAGCACTAAATACCTCTTATGTGCTAGAAGAGTAAAACTGCTTAACTCTGTTTTGATTGGAATAATCACTTTCTGGGCTCGGATATTTGTTATCCCTAGTACTCTTATGACGAAGGTTCAAGCCCTATGTAGAAACTCTCTACCCAAGATTTTTATACATATTTTATTATCGATTGCCGTAGGTTGATGACCATTCAAGGTAATCGATTGCAGCACTCAGTCTCTTACTTTCTTTGTTTTGTTTTCAATTTCTTTGTTAATTTGAGGCCTAGAATCACAAATGCCCAATTTATACAAGGAAGAGGTTAATATACTGTTGGCTAGCTTTCTCATGCCACTTGTTTGGAATTCATATATGCCTGCTTTTTACTCCCCGGGTCTTAAATTTGTACAAGAGATGACAATAACAAAATATAACAAAAAATAAATTTGTACAGGAGATTCTTCCTACATACATATAACAAAAGATAACAATAACAATAGGAGATCCATTAAAGTATGAAGTAAAGCAACATGTAAGGAAGATTGATACCCATCTAAGTAGAAGAATAGAAAATAAGATTTAAAAAAATTAGCAAAAACCAAAGAGGGTATGGTCAAACCTGTGAGACGTACAGCCGATGGAAAAATCGAGCGTGTCGCCGGCGGGTCTTCACCTTCGTGCTTCCGTCTTCAATTTCAGAATTCGTGAATGAGTGGAGGCTGATCTCCTACCTTTCTGCGCAATTGATCTCCTGTCTACACCTTCGTGCTTCCGTGCTTCCGTCTTCAATTTCAGACTTAGCAATTGAGAGGAAATAGAGATTTGCCTACCGGGTAGTCATATGAGGATCATTTGGGCTTGCTAGATAATTAAAATAGTGAAACTAACTTAATTAGATTGGGCTGGACTGCAGAGCAAAACAAAAATTCTAAAAAATAAATAGGGACCGGAATGGACCGGAATCTTACCGATCTAAAATAATGGACTGAAATTCGGACCTATTACGAACAGGTCCAACCTGAAACTATTTATATTGGTCTTGTCGAGTCCGGTTTAACGGTTCGACCCCGATTATGTACACCCTTAGAGCAACTCCAATGCACCCTTTATAATCTAAAAAATAAATGGTTTACACTTTACTGTAGATAAAGTAGAGCTCCAATGGGACGAATGGGTCATTTAAATTTCAGAGCAATAGTTATTTTTAACTTTACATACTCTATATATAGATGATCATTATTCATATGCTATAAATAAAATACTTTGTAGTACTTCTTCCGTTCTGAAAAAAACTTCCTCTTTCATTTTTTCTACTTCTAACAAAATATTTCCACTTTCAATTAAAAACTACTTTTATCCTTACTTTTTTATACCTTATCTATCACATTATACTTTTTCTCTAACAATTTATTCATCACATATTACTTTACTTATCACATCAAGGATAAAATTGGAAGTCAGCTAGAATTTAACACTTCCTTATTTTTACACTTTGTCAAACTATGAACTCTTTTTTAGAACAGAGAAAATTATAATGTATAATGCTTTTTCAACCTTAGTTATGCACAGGGTCACCGCCAATTTCACATGTATTACTACTTTCATCAAATTTTCTTTTATCTTTATTGATTTGAGTTTCATTTTACACTAAAATCATAGAGCTATTTTTTAATCAAAATTTCTAATCGCATTCTCATTTTTTATTCAGTTTTTTATATTATTGATTCAAAATTGAGGACTGATTCATGATTTTGTGGCATCTCCTTGTTCCATATTGAACATAGCTTAGAGCTATCTTTGCTATAGCAAATTTGGTGGAAAAATATTAATGTAAAATAATTCTAAAATATTATAAAAATCTAAAAAATAAATGATATGGTTGGAAAGGTGGTGGAAAAGTAGAATGCTAAATCACTATTGAGAAGCTAAAATAGCATTTAGCTTTCCAGTTTTTAGCATACCCATTGAAGATGCTCTTACATGCACGAGGTGGACTTTGAATGGTTTTAAAATTTTTCAGGGTGGAATATGCAATTTTTGCTTTTTGAGGGTGTAATGCAACTTTCATTCCTTTTTTTGAAGGAACACTTCACTTCATTAAATTAAAGGAAGTTTACAATGAAGTATAGGGGTGAATCAACCCCCTCCCCTACACCCGACATTGAATGAGTAACACATGCTAAAATATGTGGTGCCTCATTAGACGAGTAATGAGAAAACTGAAATCTAAAGTCTCCTTTACATTATTCTCTTTTTTAGGGTGCATAATGGAAATTGCCCTACGAAACATAAAATGATATACTCCGTATAAGTAATTTGGGGAGGCCATGAATGATTCTATAAGTGTAAAAATGGGGAAACGAAAAAACTAATTTAAAATAAGTAAATAAGACATACTTATTTTTTTGTTTATAAGTTACTTTTAAGTCAAAAAAATCATATAGATACAATGAGTTAAATAATAAATAACTCGTGTGGGGATATTTATAATAGGTAAGAGATGTTTTATAAGTAATCTGGTTAAAACGGAGAATAAAAAAAATTTATTTATAGGATATAAGCTGGTTATAAAGACAGAAGAACATGTCATCTGTTGATTTATAAGATCTAAACAATTGAAAAAACGTTTTAACCAATATATAAATAAATTAAATAGACTAGCTACATTCTATATGAAACATTGCACGTTGGAGACTTGTAGCTAGGTACGGAGTACCTAGCTTTAGATTTTACTATCTCTAAAATAAAAGGAGAGATCATGTTAGGATTAGGAAAAAATGATACAAAAGTGCTTATTTTCATCCTTAATTTTTGACTAAATCAATCTCCAACAATTTGTTCAAAACTTAATCTAGACATGGCTAAGACTAGAGATCTAAAATATACTCCGGAGTATAAAATATATTTTGTGTATAAAGTTATTGCTAAGTGTATATAGAGTATATATATTATTATATGGGGTAGAGTTAGACAAATGAGATATGCATTTAGCCTCACCCTTTATATAATTATGTTTATCGTTCCAAGAAAGGTGGAATCGCCCAGGCCACCCCAGGCGCTCCACCCCCTATCTATATGTTATATTATATTTTATACTCGTACATCTTTTTAAATTTACAAATAAGTTGTTGGGTTCCTAGGTCTATGGTACCTAACTCAATTGAAGAGTGATTGTGATGATAGTAAAGAGAACATGTAAAAGATGATGAATAGTGATATTGAGTATAGTAGTGAATGTGTCTCCGTCCTCTAAGAGTGGTATAAATACGAGAAATTAGGGTTAAAGTTTAAGTCCAACCATTCTAGTCTAATAGACTAACCCAATCAATATGCGATCAACGGGTCGATCCAAACTTTTAGGAATGTCCCAGCTAACAATATGCAAAGAACAAATATCCTCATGTGCATCTATCACTTGTAACAAATCTTAAAACATACACATTAAAATATTATTCGTACTTCACACAGAGTATTATTTTATACTTCTTTCGTTCTAAAATTAATTTTTCAATGGTCCAATATTATTCAATAGTTGAACTTTAATAATTTTGTACTTATTTTCACTAGTCGTATGATAAAATAATGATAATGAATTTAATTTCAAAAATTATTAAAATAGTAATTAAAAAGTTTGAAAAAATAGAAACTTAATTCATGGAGTACATTATATATTTGTTTAATTACTATATTTTTTCACTTCAGATTTTATTTTTATGATGTTTAAATAGTTCACTTTAACACTTTATTCTATTAATATTTAACTTTTCGTTCATAGACACAAATTAACTTCTCTAACATTTTCGTACTCAAGACTATCAATTAGGGGTTTAATACTTTTAAGAGTAAATTTCATAATTGGTCCTTTATAATAGAGGGGTTTCCATATTTAGTCCGCTATTATCAAATATTACCCCCGTAGTCCTTTTTTTAAGAATACCTTTCCACAAATGGTCCCTTTTTTGATCTTCTGCCGTGTTGGTGTTAATTTAAAGGCTAAAAGTATAATTTGACGTCAACATTATGTCTAGTGATATGTTCTGATATTGATTAAGCGGATAACACAAAAATAATGACTATGACTGTGGGCTAGGATTCTGACGAAAGATCTCATTTGTAGACTATAGTTGTCGTAAAAAGCGACTGTAATTCACAAACGATGCAAACGAAACAGCCTTTGAAATTGTTTATGACAAAAAAGATATACTATCATTGTGAAATTATACTTTTAACCCTCAAATTAACACCAACATGATAAAAGATCAAAAAAGGACTATTTGTGGAAATGTACCCATAAAAGAAGGACTATTTAAGTAATATTTGATAATAGAGGATTAAATAGAGAAACCCCCTATTATAAAGGACCAATTATAGAATTTACTCTACTTTTAATTGTAGAAAACTTCTTTTGGATACCCTCAATTTTTTAGGTAAGAATTCTTAAGTCACACATTATCTATATAACACTTCAAGGTACTTTCAATTTTTAAGTAAGATCTATTACGTTCCACATTATTTAAATATACTTCAAGATCTTTAAAACTTGTTATATTAGTAAAAAAAGCTAAAGTAAAAATGAAACTTTGAAAATTTATTAAAATAGAAGTTTCTAACATAAAGTGTCACATTAACAAATTTTGAAATTACTGTCCATTTCTCCATTTCTCCTAAATTTGAGCAATACTTTGAAAATTTGTTAATGTGACACTTTATATTGATATTTCACACTGACAATAATATCATAGGGAGTATTTGTTAATGTGCAGTGACACTTTATATTTGTATTTCAAAATATTTTTTTGATACTATATATTGAGACTATTGCTTTGTAACTCCTATTTTAAAAATAAAAAGGTAGAAAAAACATTCTCTTTTTACTCATATTTAGTTTTATGTTAAAAATGAATACTTATATTTTACCTAATTATTTTAATAATTCATCTGTTTCAAAAATATCTTTCTATTTCATTTTTTGCACATCGTATAAAACATTTTTATACACATATATTTAAAATTTATGCAAAAAAATGAAAAAAAAATGTTTTTGGGAGAGGGAGTAACATTTTTAGGAGATCAATACACTCGCCCAGCTTCTTTTCCTTCCAGGCCTTGCAAGACAAGCGATCGTTAATCGGAGAAGACGATCCTCTGCAGCATCCGTCGGTTAAGCTTGACAATCGTGCTGACGGAGAGCCTTGCTTTGAATTTTCCCAGCATTTGTTGGCCTAAGCTTGGCATTGGGAACAAGCATCGCCGGCCATCCGTTAGCCGAAGGCCGTATCTCCGCCGGCAGCTTCCCCATCGAAGTTTGAATTGTCCCTGGCAATTTGACACTGTGCCTAATATCTCGAAGAAACTGAACAGAAGTTTATGTTCATGGTTGGCTACATACAGTAAGCCTTAAAAGATGGAAGAAGAAGAAAAGAGGGAGGTTTTCTTTGAGACACGCCATCACGCTTCTGGGCCTTATTGCTCCAATTATCCGCCTACTTTCAGGAATCAGCATCAAGAGGTCCTCCAGCAATCCATGGTCTTCTCGAACTGGTTCTTAGTTTTTTTTAATTTCTTTTGGCCCTTGTTGATGAAGTTTACTTTTTTTTTCTGTTTACTAATAATTTAGCAGAGGGAAGGTTCTAAAGGGAGTTACCTCTCAAGATTGCTTTCTTCCCGAGGTATAGTCAGCTTTCGCTTAATGTGATTCACATTAAATTTGATATTTGATGTTTAGGGCATATGAACTTTGAAGTGTGCATTTGTGTATTGGAATAACACCCAAATTAAAGGTCTGTTGTTGACTAAGAGTAGAAAATAATATTTTAAACAAAGGGCCTGTTTGGGAATAACATCAGAGATTAGCATTAGCGTTTTGGATAAAATTTTAACAGTGCAGATTACTTTGAAAACGCTAACGCTGGCTGTAGATAGCCTTTTCAAAACGCTAACGATAATCTCTAACGCTATTCCCAAACAGGCCCAAAGTTTATGAGGGCATGATCCTCAATCATTTCATATTTCTGCCAATTTAAAGTGTTCTTTATTAAAGAAAATGTGATGGGTGCCATCTTTTTTACCATATTATAGTGTTCTTTTATGTCAATTCCCTGAAAGCCGTCCGGTAATATTCTCATTGTACATGAAGGTATTGCTCAAATTAAGGAGAAATGGAGCACCTACAAGCTTCCAAAAAGATCAAGGAAATTTGCATCCCTCTTTGTTTCCCCCGGGGGTGATCTCGTGGCTGTAGCAACTGGGAACCGGATAACAATATTGAAGAAGGAGGATGACTACCAGGAACCCCGTGGAATTTTTACCTGTAAGGATCATATGCGCTGTGCCAGTGTAAATTCCTGAGAAAAATATGAGTGCTTTAAATAAGCCATTCATGATACTCATATGTTACAAGGCCACTTTCCAGTGAAATCTGGTGTTTTTGGACACTCTCAAACCAAATCCATGCTGGATTATTTCCCTGTTAGAGTTTTTTTCCTTTTTCTTGATTTATTTGCAGTGGGGGATGAGTTTTTACATTCACAAGTAGTTCTTGGAGTTGTTTAATAGACCTGTAGATGTCAATTGCAACAAACTTGTCAGTTTCCTTTGCATGTGACTTGTTACATATTGCCTCAGGATTTTTATTTTTAGTTTTTACTTTAACATAGGCGAAAACAATACTACAATTTTGTTTGGAGCTTGGGCAGAAACTCATGATTCACTTGGTGTTGTTGATGATGCGGATACACTTTATCTAATAAGAGGTAATGGTGAAGAGATAACAAGATTTCCAAAGAGGCTCTTGAAAGCATCTTCACAAATAGTAGGCTTAGTGGTGCAAGATGACATTAATGTGAAGACGTCATGCTTGTAAGTTTGATTCTTCTTTATTCTATGGTATGTGTATATTCTATAAAACACTATATCAAATCATGTGCTAGACACACTTGTAAAACAGGCCTCTTTATAATCATCAATTTTAAAAATCTTTTATAGGTGTACATTCCTAGTTTTCACTTCGGATGGTTCATTTCATGAAGTTGAGATCAGTCAAGATCCTGGCGCTTCTGTTTTCTCTAGATCTTCCTCAACTAGTGACTTAATACATAAGCATCACTTGCCTCAGCATATTGTTTGCCTCGATTACCATCCAAAACTGTCTTTGTTATCTTTAGTACATTATGCTGGTAGTATGCAATCAGCATCCAGTGGCAGTGGTAGATATTCTTTTCTCATTCTTCTTCAATAATTTGAACTCAAAATGGCACAGATTTAAAGAAAATGATCAATTCTCATAATCTGCATCGGATCGTCTTCCTTTCTAGGATTGTACAATGTTTCTCTATGGCAAAGAAGCAGTAACTTGAACTTCAAACTGATGGGTTCAGCTCAATTTGAGGGCTCAATTTTCATTCCAAAAGGTAATGTAGATCAAATGGCACTGCCAAAGGTGCGCATTTCAGCACAAGGAAAATTTGTTGCTGTTCTGGATGTGAAAGGCCATTTGGTTGCTTTTAAGTTTGATAATGAACTCCAGTCTCTCTCATTTACTTCTGGAGAAGGACACAATTCAGATCTAATAAACAGCAGGCTGAGTCCAGTAAATAAACACTTCGATGAAATAGTGGATTTTGCCTGGTGGTCTGATAATATTATTACCTTAGCAGAAAGGAGTAGAAGGATCACCATGTTTGATATGTATGCTGGTGTGAATTTATTGAGAACTGATATTAAGTATTCACTGCCCCTTCTTGAGAGACCACAAAATCTCTCTGGAAAGCTTTTCCTTTTAGAAAGTAAGTCCCCTGCTGGAAATTACTCAGCATCTCAAGAGATTGGTGCAAGAGATGTGCGTCATATAGAGTGGAACACTGTTGATGCGGATAACCAGAGTAATTGGGCCAAAATGGATTGGAGCTTGATCTCATTTTTGGAACGATCTGTTCTAGAAATGTATACCGTACTAATTGCTCAGCATGAATATGAGGCTGCTCTCCGCTTTGCAGATCACCATTGTCTTGATAAAGATGAAGCACTGAAGTCACAGTGGCTCCATTCTTCCCATGGAAGAAATGCAATAAAGACTTCACTTGCAACTATAAAAGATAAAAAATTTGTTCTCAATGAATGTGTTGATCGATTTGGACCAACAGAAGATGCAGTGAGGGATTTGCTTGATCATGGATTCCTCCTGACAGACTCCTATCGGTTTTCCAACTCTGAAGGTATTGAGCAAAATGAAATTTGGGATTTCCGCCTGACTAGGCTGAGGTTGCTGCAGCTGAAAGACAAGCTAGAGACATTTCTTGGCATAAACATGGGCAGGTTATGGTTTTTGCATAACTTATCCTCAAGAAGCATATATTTTGGACTTTATTTTCTGTGCTCATTTGTCATATCCTGAATGCATGCAGAATATATTAATCATGCACTGCAGATACAGTGGTGTTCTTTTTTATTCAATTTTATTGGGGAGTGGAAGGAGTATAAGTTGGAAAAACCATTTTCTTTCCGTGTTTGAATTCCCTTGATTCTCATTTGCCTTATTCTGTTTCAGTTTTTGTTCTGCTAGAAAATGCAGTGTCTAATGTGGAATAACATAATTCTCTTTTGTAGTTGGTGTTTTCAGTATACTTATTTACGCCTATCAAAGTTGTTCTAACTGGTTTGGAACCTAATGACATAGAGTTTTGCAGGTTTTCTATGCAGGAGTACAAGAAATTCTGTAATCTGCCCATTAAAGAAGCAGCCATTGGGCTTGCAGAAAGTGGAAAGATTGGGGCACTAAACCTTATGTTCAAACGCCATCCTTATTCTTTGACTGCTTGTATGTTGGATGTCTTGTCTGCTATCCCTGAAACTATTCCAGTTCATACATATGTACACCTACTTCCTGGAGAATCTCCTCCAAATATTGCTTTAAGGGAAGACGACTGGGTTGAATGCCTTGAGATGGTTTCTTTTGTCAGCAAAACCCCTGAGAACCACCAGAGCAGAACTCAGATCAGAACTGAATCAATTGTCAAGCAATCTGTGGGGTATCACTGGCCTTCACTTACTGAACTATCTTCGTGGTATAAAAATAGAGCCAAAGATATTGATACTTTTAGTGGGCAACTAGACAATTGCATCTCCTTAATTGAGTTAGCTTGTCGGAAAGGTATTCATCACCTGAAACCATTTCTAGAGGAGATCTCATACTTGAGAGAACTTGTATATTGCAACGAGGATGATGACACAATGAATTCTTCTATGAGTCTTTCAACGTGGGAAAATTGGCCTAATTATGAAAGGTTTAAGTTGATGCTAGTTGGGGTCAATGAGGAAAATGTTATTAGAAGATTACAGAATATAGCAATCCCATTCATGAAGAAGAAATGTCATTTGATGACTGTGGTTCCTGAAGATGTGGAGCAACCCTCCACTTTAGTTAACTCAGCCGAGTCATTTTTGGTCAGATGGCTGAAAGAAATTGCTTCAGAAAATAAGTTAGAAATTTGTTCAATTGTGATTGAAGAGGGATGCAGGGGTGTTCATAATAATTGTTTTTTCAGTGATGAAGTTGAACTGGTAGATTGTGCTTTGCATTGCATATACTTGTGTTCTGTTACTGATAGATGGAGTATTATGGCTTCTATCTTGTCCAAACTTCCAAACATAAGAGGTATACTTTTTTCGAAGTGAATGCCTCTTTTATTTCCCGAGTTTGAATATACCCATTTTTACTAAATTTACAACTTTTCTTCATTTTTCTGGGCATCTGTGGCAAGTATTGAGTGATAGTATCTACAATGTTTTTTTCCAAAGAATGCATTAATTGCAAGAAGTTTTGCCTTTTTTCAAAGAATCACTCCTCTTTTTTTGAACAAAATGCACTTCTCATTAAACCAACCATGAAGAAAAACATCCATCCATACAAAAACCAAATACACTACACACAACTCTACTGTATAACACAAGCAAAATCAAAACCACTTATAAACTACACCATTACCTTTCAAAAAGACGTTTACCTGGTGTATTACCATTCGGGCGCAATTGGTCACACAAGGTTCTTCATTCTTATGCAGTTTATAGTTTCTTGCTCTCCACACATTACAGTCCCCCCCTTCCCCCGATACAATAACCAAACCTTTCAGCCACCTCTTCTCTAACTTTCTTAGTAAACACACATGTGCTGAAAAGATGGTTTACCTCTTCTACTTCACTTTTAAACAGCAAGTAGTGTCTTCAGGAAAAAATTTTATTGATTCTATCTTTGGTTTGTATTCTACCCTTAACAATCAACCATAGAATGAATTGATGTTTTGGCTGACTATATTTGTTCCAAACTAACTTCACCTAGGTAGGTTTTGGTCTGTCTCCTATGAGCTAGTTATACCCCTCCTCCACTGTATACTCATCTTTCCTGGGCATGTCCTCAAACCATTTTCTACTACTCAAAATATTTTTCCAATAATAGCAACTATCAGTTCTAGGAGAGTGTTCCCAAAACTTCTCATTATCAATATATCTGTTGAGGATCCATTTTATCCATAGAGAGTCTTTCTTGTTTGCAATATCCTAACACATCTTCATAATGCAAGCCCTGTTCCACTGGATCATATTCCTGATTTCAAGAATCACTCTTTGGTTTTGGACAATGATGAAATACTTTGTTAGTTTGAAATTACTTTTTGTGTAATCTTCCTGCAGTTTTCACCATGTATCTTAACATTTTCTTTCTAATTACTTGTAATATATGCTTGATTTAACAGAGTTTGGTGATGCACATCTCAAGGAAAGATTTCGACTGTCTGAAGGTCACATTGAAGCCGGAAGGCTTTTAGTATATTACCAAGTTCCCAAGCCTATTAGCTTTTTCCTCGAAGCTGGTTCAGATGGAAAGGGAATAAAGCAGATTCTTCGGCTTATACTATCCAAATTTATTCGTCGGCAACCAGTCCAGACGGATAGTGAATGGGCAAATATGTGGCGTGATTTGCAATATCTTCAGGAGAAGGCATTTCCTTTCATAGACCTGGAATATGTCTTGATGGAGTTTTGCAGGGGATTGTTGAAAGCTGAAAAATTTTTGCTTGCTAGGAGCTATTTGAGGGGTGCTGGTTCTGTATCTTTGGCAACCGATAAAGCAGAAAATCTTGTCATTCAAGCTGCACGAGAGTACTTCTATTCTGCATCAAGTCTTGCCTGTTCTGAGGTAAGTGCACTCTATGGATTTACTATTTACTAGGAAAATCATTTACAGTAGTACTAAAAAGTCCTTTTGCCTTGTCATGTTTAGTAAACTTAGAGGCATTTTTGAATCTTCTAATGGAAGCAGCTTTGAAGTTAGGAAGCTTTTTAATTTTGGGAAGTAGAATAGAAATCATATGCTATTTTTTATACCACATAGTTTTCATACTCGATATTGCCCACCTTCTCAAGAATATAATTGAATAAATTATAAAAATAAAAACCTTTTTCTAATAAAGGCAAGACCTCTGATCTTGAGAAGTGCATTGCAAGCACTTCCATAAAGAGAAGTTGCTGAGAATTACTAGCTTGAGATGGCAGACAAGTCATCCGTAATAGTTTATATCATTCTCCCTACCAAATTTGTGTAAATTCTTGAAATATGTAGATCTGGAAGGCTAAGGAATGTCTCAACATCTTGCCGAACAACAGAAGTGTGATTGCTGAGGCTGATATCATTGATTGTGTAACTGTTAAGCTTCCAAACCTTGGAGTGACCCTCTTGCCTATGCAATTCAAGCAAATTAAAGATCCAATGGAAATAATCAAGTTGGCAATCACAAGTCAAACCGGAGCATATCTGAATGTTGACGAAATCATTGAAATATCCAAACTTCTCGGTCTGAGTTCTCAGGATGACATATCAGCTGTACAAGAAGCTATTGCAAGAGAAGCTGCAGTTGTTGGAGATCTTCAACTGGCTTTTGAACTTTGCCTGATTTTGTCCAAAAAGGGACATGGACCAGTTTGGGATTTATGCGTGGCACTGGCAAGAGGCCCCGTTCTAAATAACATGGACATTAGCTCTCGAAAGCATCTGTTAGGGTTTGCTTTGAGTCACTGTGATGGAGAATCGATTGGAGAGTTACTGCATGGATGGAAAGATCTAGATATACAAATGCAATGTGATTCTTTAATAATAATGACAGGAAAAGAACCTCAACCCTTCTCAGTTCAAGATTCTTCTTATCACCAGCTCCATGGCGTCAACAAAGTTGGCGATATCACTTTCTTTGATCAGGAAGCACAACTGAACCACATAAAGGGCTTCCTTTCTCAGGTGGCAAAAGAGTTACACATAGAGGGTGATGCCTGTTTTGAAACAATTCTTAGAGACAATGGGAAAATACTATCCTTTGCTGCTATGCAGCTTCCTTGGTTGATTGAACTAATTCATGAAGCTGGAAATGGTAAGAAACTCATGCCAAACTCTGTTTCCAGGAAGCAATATATAAGTGTTAGAACAAAAACAATCATTGCTATTTTGTCCTGGCTGGCATGGAATGGTTTTGCACCAAAGGATGATCTGGTTGCATCTCTAGCAAAATCAATCATGGAACCACCTGTATCTGAAGAGGAAGACATCATAGGGTGCTCCTATTTGTTAAATCTTGTTGATGCTTATTATGGAGTGGGAATAATTGAAGAAAACTTGAAAAGTAGGGAGACTTATAGTGAAAAAACTAGCATTATGAATGTTGGGATGATTTATGGTCTACTAAATAACAGTGGAGCCATGTCCGAAGAACCTGCTCAAAGGAGAGAGCTAATTATAAGGAGTTTCCAACAGAATAAATCAATTACTTCAGGTGACGTTCTACTCCAGCCCTTGAAAAACAATCCTTTACTGATGCATCTGACATCTTTTGTTTTACAACAACAACCCAGTATAATCCCACAAAAGTAGGGTCTGGGGAGGGTGGGTGTACGCAGACCTTGCCCCTACTCGAAAGTAGAATCTTTTGTTTTAATGCAATTTAATTGTATTTGTGAAATCAGATGAGAGAGACAGAATAGACAAAGCACAATCTACGTTCTGGAAGGAATGGAAAATGAAATTAGAAGATCAGAAGCGTTTGGCAGACCATTCAAGGGTTTTGGAACAGATGATTCCGGGTGTTGAAGTGGAACGCTTTTTGTTAGGAGACTTGGACTACATTGAAAGTTCCATTCTGTCAATAATAAACTCTGTGAAGCGGGAGAAGAAATATATATTGAAGGATGTGTCAAGTTTGGCACTTACTTACGGCTTGGATCGGTGCAAGGTATGCATGTGTTCCCCCATACACTAGGACGTGTATAATGTAACATGAATAGTTAAAAAAACATTTTTTAACCTCTAAGGGTCCTTGTGGAAAATATAATATAAGGACAATACATAAGGAAATAGAATATGGTGGAACATCACATTTTGATTCAAACTCGATTTATTAATTTTAGCTATTTCTTCAACCACATTTACTTAAGAAAACTAAATATATGTTAATGTTTAATAAGTTTTTAGTAAAATATGATTTTCCCTTCATACTCCGTATTTTTCAAGGTAAAACAAAAAACAAAACATTCTCCTTCACTCTCTCTTTCTCTGTCTTTCTATAATTTCCCAAGCTCCAAACATAGCGTAACTGTTACTCATCATGCCTTACCCCTGTTACAGCTGATCTTGCAATGCCTGAAGTCAATGTTCATATCTGAGGCTTGGAGTGTTCACGATTTAGTAACTGAAGTATCAGAATTCAAAGGAGAGCTTCATGGATGTGCCAAAGAAACTATAAAATATTTCTCTTTGTTCATCTACCCTTCACTCAATGGGTATGACAAAGATCGCCTCACTTTCATGTATAGCATACTCTCTGATTGCTCGTCGAGTCTCGCAGAACAAAATGAACCAATACCTATTATGGATCAGGGTCCAATGTCCCAAACTTCCACTTGGTATGCCCACTTTTACAAAGTTGCTGCAGAGGAATGTAATAGAGTCTCCTCTATTTTGAGCTTAAACTTCAAAAACATTGCTGGATTGCAAGGCCTGAAATTGGAATCCTTCAATAGTGAAGTTTGTGCACACATAAATGAAAACAATGTTGATCTCTTGGCCAAGATGGTCCAGAACCTTGTTGAATCTTGTGAAGATACAGTGCAAGATGACATCATTTCATGGCATGGCGTTTATGCACGTTATATACTGGATTTGTTGATCGCTTTGGAGACTAGGGGAAGTACAGAAATGGCTCATTTCGAAAGCTTTCTTAACTTTCTGAGTCAGCTTGAACAAACCTATGATCTTTGTAGAAAGTATCTAAAGTTCATTTCAAGGCCTTTAGTCACTGAAATAACAAGACGGTTCTTGACTGCGGTAGTGCCTGCAGTGAAAACTCTTAAGCCTGGATGGAAGGTAAGCCTTGTCATGTTTGTGGATATCTGGCTTAGAATTCTTGATGATCTTTGTGCACTTCCAGCTGCTTCTTCATCCGAGGTGTTTGTTTCAGAAATTTCAGTTATATGTCTTAGAGCTTTCCGGAACCTCATCGAGCAAGAAAAAATTTCACCGAATCAGGGCTGGGCTGCAGTTCTGTACTTTCTTAGCTATGGCCATGTATCAGAGTCTTCCAGAGAGGTCTTTAATATCTTCAGGGCTATGATCTTCGCTGGCTGTGGGTTTGAATCCATTTCTGGTGTATTTGTTGAGACAACAATATGTGAAAGAACACGTGATCTTCAAGATCTCTATATAATAATATTGAATGCAATTTTGCAAGATCTGGATAGTCAATCCCTCGAGGAGTATCAGTGTCTACATCACCTTTTGTCATCTTTGAGCAGATTGGAGGGTGAAATAGAGACCCTACAGACCATAAGGAGGGCAGTGTGGGAGAGAATGGCTGAATTTTCAGACAACTTAAAGATTCCTAGCCATGCTCGTGTTCACATATTGGAACTCATGCATTTCATTTCAGCTTCTTCTTCTTCTAGTAGTAGACATAATAATATGAAGAAGGGGGTTTCCTCTGAGTTTCAGACTAACCTTCTTCCTTGGGAAGGTTGGGTGAATTTTCAGCAGGGTGTAACCACGAGTAGCCAGAAGACGGTCGATGACGAGATTCCAAACACTTTAGCCGCACTCAAGTCAACGCGGTTGGCTTCTACAATCTCACCTGCCCTGGAGGTCAAACCAGAAGATCTTCTTACTCTTGATTCAGCCATTTCATGTTTCTTTAAAATTTCTTCACATGTGGTATCGGAGCCTCATGTTGACACTTTGCTGGATATTTTGAGAGAGTGGGAGGGTCTGTTTTCTTGTGGGAATGTTGACTCGGTCAATACATCCAATGGTGGGAATGATTGGGAAAACGATGACTGGGGAGATGATGATGGTGGCTGGGAAAGCTTCCCAGAAGATAAAACTCAGCTGGGAACGAAGAAAGATGAGACCTTTTCCACCCATCCATTTCATATGTGCTGGTTGGAGATCTTCAAGAAACTGCTAACAATGTCTCGGTACAAGGATTTGTTGAGATTGATCGACCAATCCAATGCACAAACTAATGAAGTTTTTCTTGACGAGGAAGGTGCCCGTAGTTTGACCCAAATTGCACTTGAGATTGACTGCTTGCTATCACTCAAACTGATGCTTATGTTCCCTTACAAACAAATGCAGCTTCAGTGCCTGGACGCAGTCGAACAAAACTTGAAAAACAAAGGCATATCGGACGACATCAGCCGCGACCATGACTTTTTAATTCTTGTTTTATCATCAGGACTCATCTCCACCATTGTGTCTGATTCTTCTTATGGTTCTGTTTTCTCTTACCTATGTTACATGGTTGGAGACCTCTTGCGACTGTGCCATTATGGTGAGTCTGTTGAAGGTTACGGCATTATGGACTCTTTTGTTTTTACAGAAGTTGTCTTCCCCTGTTTTATATCAGAGCTCATAAAAGCAGATCAGCAGATCCTAGCTGGACTTCTGGTCACCAAACTCATGCACACAAATGCTTCTGTGAGTTTGATCAACATTGCAGAGGCTAGTCTCAGGAAGTATTTGGAAACGCGGGTCCGAGTACTTCCAGAGACTGAGTCGTCCCTGGATAATCTTGACAGGTCCGAGTTTCTCACTTGCTCGTTATCCAATCTGAGGGGCAAAATGGGAAGTCTGGTGCACTCTGCATTGTCGTCGCTGTCTTTCAGAGGCCGATGATAACCCTTGAGATTATTGTTCAGTTTTTGTTTACTTTCAGGTGCGTGGAAATGCTAGAGGAGCTAGTCTAGGAGAGCAAGAAATGCACAATGTGTTTTTTCATAGTGTATATGTTCATGACTACCTTCACAATCTTATTTGAATTCAATATAGGAAGAAGGGTCAAATTGGATTCTATGATTTTCCCCACAAATCCTAACCTCCACGGATATCCATATCTCCCAGTGTACTTTTTTTTGAGGAATTTACGTAATTAGTATTAAAATATAACTTTCCTAATGTAGTACAACTGTTCAATATCCATTGGTCATTGTTCAAGTAAATGTCCATCGCCAGTCCGTCACTGGACAATATTGAAACTAAATGTCTACCATCATTGGATATTGTTCTCGTCACTAGACATTATTCAAGTACTGTTTAGAAAATACAAAAATTTAAGTACTACTTTGAAAAAAAACATACTACTTCCATCCCTATTTTTAATACAAGTTTATTTTCTTTCTTCTCGATAACTTTTGTTTATTTGTGTGTTTTCATTAATTATTTGATAAAATAGAATATCCTTGACATCACTTTTTTTCGTAGAACTTATGTACTGTAGTTTTTAACATGTAAGTTTTATTTCTTATTGATGTACCAATTCGTAAATAAAGTGATTCCAAAAATAGTGGCATTTTTCCTCGTAATTTCTATTTTGTAAATCGAAATAGAGACCGAGGAAGTATGTTTTAGTATTATTTAATGCAAATTTCATTTTTTTTCACAAAAAAACTTACTGTTTGTTTTTTGGACATCCAAAAAAAATTCTTTTCTGGATATGACAAAAATGTTTTCTACTTTATTTTATTTCAAAGAATTGAATTTTACATAATTTTTGTTTTTCAAATAAATTTTAATCAATCTTTTTTTTTCATTTTTTACACTTTTAAAAAGTGTAAGTAAATCAACAATGTTTCCAAAAAAAAATCAACAAAACTTCTAGAGAGGGAGGTAGTTATTCCAACTATACCTAAGTACCTAACCATACATAAATATATAACTCCTCCATAAGCATGAAACTGAAAGTTGAGCTTTACACAAAATAATGGAATCAAATTTGGTTAATATTCTCCTACATTTCCTTTTTTTGTATGTCTCGAAAAAAATCCTTTTGTTATTTAATCCGAATAAAAGAATTTCAAAACCTCATATGATTTTTGTCTCCTCACAACATTTTTTATCCAATTATTTTAATTTTTAAAGAACGATATTACTAAAATGATATCTGTAGATTTGATTTGATTGAGAATGAAAGTAGTCTACACACTAATACACTTTGAACTTCTCTTTATAATTTTTTGTCCAAATTACTTATATTTTAATTTATATAACACTTTGATTCATTTTACATCAATATTCAATAATGTCATATTTTGACATTGGGCATCTACTGGGCTTTGTTAGGTTCAAGAATGGTTCTATCTCCTCACTTACCTTGCCCCTAGACCCTAGTTAGAATTGGCAAATCAGGGTGGTTATGCCAGATTTTGGTCTAGTCACTTTGTGTTATTATTTTAGATTTGAGTAAAAAACTGTATATTCATCACATAGTTTATCAGAATCATGTCAACCCAACGAGGTATGAGCTTTATATAGAGTATTAAGTTCAAAATGTTAACTTATCAAACATCTTAGAAATTACTCGTATCATTTTTAAAGAACCAACCCAATTAAATATCCAAACTTGTTGTTGAAAACTCAAAAAATCATATTCACCATGTCCTCAAATAAAATCCTGAGTTACTATTAGAGAGTTTCAATAACTTTTATTTTTGAATTTTTTTATTTAATTGTAAAATACTTAGTTTTTATATTTTATTTTTAATTTCACGCCAAATTTTCAAAGACAATCCACTAAAAAATTCAAATTTTCAAAGACTATGTACTAATGATATGTTTGGAAACATTGATTTGGATTTCAAATCCGGGTTTGGCTCAAATTCCATGTTTGGGAAACTTTAAAATTTTGAATTTGGATTTGAGTCAAATTCTTCTCATTCATAACAAAGCTTAATTTGAAATTCATGCACCTCCCCTTGTCATTTGAAATTCAAGATTTCAAATTTTGGAAATGAAATGCATGAATTGAAATAAAAATATTAGTTGCCAAATACCACCTAAAAGAATTCATTCTACCTCTTTTGACCAATAAACAGTTTGTTCATCAACATATGGAGTATGTTATCAAAAATGCAAGGGGTACGCTAAAAGTGTAATCCAAATATACACCACCACCTCCATTACTGTATATTTTAGCATGTAAAATAAAAATAAATAAATAAATAAATAAAAATAAGTGATAATAAAGAGAGTAATGTATATTTGAGATACACTTCTAATATACCCCTAACATCCCTATATGTTACGAGTATTTTGTTGTTCTTGGTCAAATGATTCAAATTAGAGGCTGGCACCCCAAATTGGACTGCGAGGTGGTACTAAAAAGTAAAAAGTTGCGTACCATTTTGTTTTTAAAAAAAAGCTGGGTTCTAACCTACCCGGACCGTCCGTATATTATTACTCAAACGAATCTCACTATATAAATAATAAAACGAATCTCATATTCGTGACTTAGTGTTTTTATTAATCAAAACATTTAAAACGAATCTCACTTTATAAACCTTCATGTATTTGTCTAGTTTGACTTTTTCGAGGCAAACTAAACAAACTTTGAGGTTCAATTAGATAAAAAATAACATAATATACTTTAATATAAAAATAACTTTATTGGATTCATCGTATTGAGAATAGTCAAAATTGTATTTCATTATGCTAGTATGCAATATAAATTGAGAGTAATTAGAGTTTAAAATTTATACAATTTAATTCAAAAAAGTTAAACTGAACAAATATACTTGGACGGAGCTAACTCTTAATTCACACTTTGTAATTAACATTTACGTACAAATTTGACCAAAACAAAAAAAAACTACTCGTTTGTGAACAGGAAGGGTTGTGATGTAACTAGGAGTAATAAATAACCAGCTAGCGTTGGGGACTTGGGGGAGTTTGGTTTGCACACTCTCAACTCCGGCAGAGAGTGTTTTCATTGACTTTCACCGCCGTATCACTCCGGTGAGCATCTTCGTTTTGTTGTTACATACCCAAAAACTGTTCTGATTTTACACACAAAATCGTGTTCTTGTTCGTCTGTCCGAATTTTTTTTGTAAACCCCGATTTAGTTTGTGGTTTTCTGCTGTTAGGAAAATGGGTTCGGATCAGAAAGTTCATCACTTTGAAGAAGTCGCCAAGCACAACAAGACCAAAGATTGCTGGCTTATCATCCATGGAAAGGTTTACCTCTCTAATTTCTTCTCGCACCTAGAATATGACCCAACGTTTCTTTTTTTGAAATCTGTAGATTTGTGTTCTTTATATTTTGTGATAACCCCACAAATTTGGCCCTCTCTGGTTTGAGATTGTGAAAATTTGTTAGTAATTGGGCTGTCTTCTTGAATCTGAAAGCTTTGTGTGTTCATGGTGTTCTTAGATCTCTGAGAACTGTCTTCTTTTTTAGTCAAGATTTGGGTAGCGATTCTCTTAGTGCATGTTTGGACCAAGGGTTTTGGTGGGATTTCTCAACCCACATCTTGATGCAGTCTTGTTGGAGATTTTGTAAAATCCAAAAGGATTGACATAATAGGTGATCATCTAGCATTTCAATCATCATTTTTGGAACCTTTCTTTTTACCAAGATATAGATCTTGCTCTTTGAAGTCTTCCCTTCAAGCCCCTCTATCCAAGTTGAGGCTTAGCAACGATAGAGTAGACGGGTGTCTATGAATGTTTGATTTTAATGTAGTTTTTTTTAGATAATTTTGAGCCGGGGTCTCTTGAAAAACACCTCTGCTTCCTAGTAGAGGTAAGGTTTGCGTGCATTCATTGTCCCCCTATCCTAATTTTTGTGGGGTTCATTTGGGTGTCTTGTAGTTTTATTGTCAGGTAATTTGTTCTTGCCATATACAGAAAACGATAGATTTCAATGAACCTAAGGAATCTAACATGATCGCGATGCCTATCTAGGAGGGGGCTGAACTCACTTATCACTATTTACGTTTTCCATAATTAGTTGAATTTGTGCACGATTATACCATGAAAGAGGCTCAAGTCCATGAATTAAAACTCCATCCGTCGCATGAAAAAGTCATATTTGACCAAAGAACAACTTTCTTTTTGCAAGGTATAATTGGTTGGCAAATTCTTTTGTGGTCCTTATGTCCATATTCATTTATTGGACCTTATTACATGGAATAAAGTAATATTTGGGCTTTGTAAAAAGAAAGATCTCCAACTATGAGCCCACAGAAAACATGTTAGAAGGTCCACATTTCACGTATAGACTTTGGGACTACAGTATCATAACTTTGGATCTAGGTCATTAGTGATTCTTAATTTCTTATGAGTACTAAATTTACCATATTAAACCTTTGCTTGACTTTATTTTTTGCAAACATCTTGCAAAATTGTACAGAGTATTAATTTGTTCAAACATAACTCTTTTTTTGGGTCAGAAACAATTATAGAATTAGAACTAGGTGGTTGTTGGACGATGATATCCCTTGCTTTTAGAGTTTCTACTTCTCGTTTCAGCACTTCGGCGCTTANTCGATTCCAAAGGAAGTTGTAACTTTCCTATTAAGGAAAGAGTTATGTGGTTCACATTATTTCTCTCTGCTCTGCATAAGTCTCAACAACACAATTTCAGCTTTCTTGTTGATCAAGTGGAATAGTCGATTCCAATGTGGATCCTTATTTTGGGACAGAGTGAGTATATATGATGAGAAACTTGCTAAGTGTACATTATGTATTCTTTGTTTCATGGAGTCGGAAGGATTTTCCCTGTTTTTTCCTTTGCCTTTCCTATTATGAGATTCACTTTTAAACCCATCTTTCCTTCACACTACTCAATTAAACCAAGCAGATCACTTGTAAAAAGATGAGTAGTAAAATCAGGGCCACAAAATGAATGGGCAATCAGTCAGGATCCTAATAAACATAATTTATTTATCACCTTATTTAACTTGCTGTAACATTACCCTATACTTCAGCTCTCTTTTTTACAGGGTGATTTTTTTCCCCTCTTATTGAATAAACTTAGCTAATTGAATTCTTGATTTTAGGCTCCATTTGGTACACAAAATTCAAGTCATGGGATTTAAATTAGAGACTTCAATTCCAATTCTGTTGTTTGGTAACACAAAAAATGTGTGGGTTTGGAATTGGTAGTGCAAAAAATGAATTGAAATTGGAGAATTCAATTCCATCTAATTCAATTCTATATAATTCCAATTTCAATTCAATTTCAATTCCGCCAATTCTGTGTACCAAACGAACACTTAATGTATTTGAATTCGTATTCCAAACACTTCGGAAGGATTTGAAATACTTAAAGAATGAGCATTTCGGATAGTGTGTGATTCGAGTCTAAATCCAAATTCAAAACTTTTTGTCTTCCCAAACTTGAATCCAGTACTAGAACTGAAATCTGATATCTTATTAGCCAAACACAGCGTTATCGCATAATGTTCTTCCCTCCTCACTCTTATCTAAAACTCTCCTTTTAGCTCTGAGTTTTAGAGCTTGTTTGTTTGTTTTATAACATGTGGCTTTTGTTTATTTAGGTATATGATGTGACTCCATTCATGGAAGATCATCCTGGAGGTGACGAGGTTTTGCTTTCAGCAACTGGTAAGTGGCAACTCTGCGATGCTTAGGCTCCGTTTGGTAGCCATTTATAGCTTACTCTTTCTCATAATAAGATCAACCCTTTGGGTTTTTTTGACATTATGGCATCGGCTCCATTTGAGGGCCCCACGGTGCTTTGTCTGACCCAAAGTGGTTCGTTCCTACCCCCTAACATAAGTTTGAGGATGATGAACAGGGAAGGACGCAAGTAATGACTTTGAGGATGTGGGGCACAGCGACGATGCCAGAGGCATGTTGGATAAGTATTACATTGGGGAGATAGACGCGAGCACGGTCCCGGCAAAGCGCGTCTACACGGGCCCACGCCCACAGTCCCAGGAGGATAGCTCCGACAAGAGCCCGGATTTGGTGATCAAGGTTTTGCAGTTCCTCGTGCCCCTCTTGATTTTGGGACTGGCTTTTCTAGTCAGACACTACACCAAGGAGAAGAAGTGAAAGATGGATGGATGGGTTTGCTTGGCTTTGTTTGTTGTATTGTCGGAGTAATAATAATGATAATGATAATAAACAAGAAACTTAATTTAATTATGATGTTTGAGTGGGGAGGGTTTTCTCTTCCCATGTTTCTCCTTTGTCGGAGTTTTTTCTTTTTTATAGTTTGGCCGTGATTTGCAGTTCATTTGTTAAGACATTTTATTGTCTTCCTTTATGAGCAGTTTATTTATAAACACTCTTCTATCTGTACTATTTAGGAATAATGTCTTAAAAATTGTGTGTTCAAAAGCTAAACGTAACATTTTGTTTTTCAAATGTCAAAAAAACACGGAAGTATTTGGTTTGCCATTATGCCATTGTGTAACATTGCGACATTATACATTGTCATATGTGACATTATGTAGTTCCATACTGCCATGTTTGTCATTTTGTCTTTCTTTGACACTCTATTCACTGTTAATGTGGCACTGTGGCAACGATAGTGCAAATTGTGATGGTAGTGTCGTTGATAATGGTATAGAGCGTCGATCTCATCGGGTGGCGACAATGAAAAATTCAAATGCGTCAATGGTAAGTTTCGATAGTAGCGGTGTGGTGGGACGGAACAGAGGACGGCGGCGGTGGAGATTCAAGTGGGGGTGGCGGGGATGCAACGGCAACGATGGTACTTTTGGCTTTTTAATTCCAAAAGGACTAAGGGGAGCATAGAATTTTGATTCTAATTCCAATTCCATGTCCATCAATTGCGTGTACCAAACGGACCCTAAGGGTACTTTTGGCTTTTTAAAGTGCCTACGGTACTCTGTTCACGAAATTAAAAACTTCTATCCCTAAGCGATTAGACAATTGTCTAATCACCACATTTGGAGGGGGCATGTAGGGCTAAGGTGGGTTGGCTTAAGAGAAGTAACACAGTAAGCATTCCAAAAGGCCATTACGGAATCCGTGGCGCCAAAAACTTTAGACCGCTCAAGTTACTCCGTATAATTTAGTATTTATTCGACAAGAAGATTCGAATAAATGTTAACCAGAAAGAGACAAACGCACGGTGGTTAGCGCACGGTATCCGATGAAACATCACAAACAAAACAGGTTTGATTAACACCAAAAAGAACCCAAAATGTTCTGTTTATACACTTCCACTGGTGAAACACAAAACAGCATGTGTTTTTTTTCTCTTTTTTTTTTTCAAGAAATCCCAAAAGAAAAAAAATACAGGTTTAAGATTAAAATCCAAAGACAATTAGTGATGGGTGTGGGATATAACATTAATAAATTAATTAATTAAACCTTGTCGTGGAGAGTGACAACCAAATCATGTGCATCATCTAGAAGCTTCCAAACATCAAGATGCCCGGCCATGTTGTTACACTCCCTCAGTATCTCATCCATGCTGCTGTACTTCTCAATGATCTGCTTCCTCCTCTGCAGCACCGACGCGGCGATGGCGTACAGCAGCAGGTCCTCCGTGGGCGGGGCCCGCAGCCTCATCCGGCTCCACGCGGACTTCCCGATGCCTGCCCGGATCGCGGCCTGGTCAGCCCACATCACCTCCCACAGGCACACGGTCTGGTCGAACGTCAGCTCCCTCCTGAACAGCACGATCACCATCCGGTACACGAAGAAGCAATCCTCCGCCTGCAGCTTCACCAGGTGCCGGTAGAGGTGGGAGTCCTTGTGCTTGATGATCTTGGACACCGTGCTGAGCTGGCGCCGGATCCCCACCTCGTCCAGCCGGAAGTTGTGCCGGGCCTTCTTCATGAACCCCACGAAGCACCAGAAGGCCTCAAAGTCCTCTGCTACGACGCTGAGTATGGGGGAGAGGAGATCGCTCATCCCCTGGCAGTAGCCGATTTCCGGGTCATACAACGCGTACGCTTCTAGGACGGCGACCAGCCTCGCGGCGTGGAAGATTCTGGTGGGGTCCAGGTGGTCGTAGTCCTTCAGCCCGACGGCCTCCGCGGAGCGGCGGGCCCGGTCGTCCGGGACCTCCACGCCGTCCCAGCCGAGAGACTGCGCCATCCACTCCGCGTTGGACCGGATCGCGTCCAGGCGAATGATGCGCTGCCACGTGGCGAAATCTTCCGGGTTGCGGAGCTTCGACTGGACCTCCTCCGTCGCCGCGGGGGAGTACTCCTCCTTGGAGGAGGAGGTGGATGTCAGGGTGAGGAGACTCGCTTCGGGATCCAAAGACGAGTCCGAGTCCGAGGATTCGGACTCGGTGGCGTAGTTCGGTTCGGTCATCCGTTTCGAAACGGTGACGTTGCCGTCGAAGAGCAACGCATCGTCGGCGGGCCCACCGTCGGAATACTCGTTGCTCGAGAGCGATTCCCGGGCACTTACGGCGTCTTCGGAGTCCGGAGACTCCACCCCTTCTCTACTACCGTTCTCGTCGGTGGATTTTGCCAGGCGACGACACTGCCTCCGCAGCTTCTCATATTCCTTCCTGCAGCATTCATATAAAGAAAAGCATTGGTTGTTAGTGTGATTGTTTTTGTGTTTTCTTGGGTGTGTGGAGTCAGCAGAAACAGTACCTTTTCTGACTTCTCAGGTGATCTCTTTCTTCTTTGGAGCTGTTCAAGTCATAGCTGCAGGAGAAAAAGGCCATTGGAGAGGTTGTCAATCTCATGAATACAGCTGTTAGCTTTTACAGTAGTGCTCAAGAGGAGATGAATAACCATGGAGGATCATCATCCCAATTGTCAATGAAAATAAATGAATAAATGCTTCTTCTGTCCCTTGTTTGGGAAACAAGAGAACACAAGGATAGGGAAATAAAGAGGAGTGTTTTCCTCTTCTCATTTTCTCTCAGAATTGGACAGAATGTGAAATCCTTTAACAGCAACAAGAACAACAACATTCCACAAAAAAAAAAAAACAGAATTTGGGAGTATGTCTGTACACGCAAATGTTAATCCATAGGAATAATGGCATTTGTCATCGTCATCACAGTCAACTTAAATCCCCAAAGCATTCAAAAAAGAGGAACGTAATAAGGTAGAGAGATCCATAATAAGATGGTCAAGAATTGAAAAAGAAACTCACACTCCGAGAAGGAAAGGCCAGACTTCAGCCCTGATGCTGGGATCAACACCCTGCACATCAAAGTCCAAAGAAATGGTCAATAACACAGAAACAGGTTTCATGTTTCATCAAAAGATCTTTATAGAAAATAAAATAACAGTAAAGAGTTAGGGCTAAAATCTCACTCCACTTCGGACTTTCTTTAGAAATTTAACTCCGCCAGCTCTAAGCCTCCCATCTGCTGTGAAAAAACTCTTCCATTGCTGAGGTGAAAGTATGCGTTTTCTCTTTCTCCTAGACCACGGCGACTTGTGATGACCCCTGCTCGAAGATCTAAAGTTTTCGAAAAACTAATCAACAAACCAAAAAAATGCAGATGCCAATAGTATTCAATCCTCACTCAACACAGTGACTGAAACCGATGATGAAATGTTCGATATTTGGCTCTCAGATGAAATTTTACCAGAACCATATGACGCCTTTAAACACTAGCTATTAAATCAAGCATGATAAAAGAAACAGAAAAAACCAACAAATCCTAAATCCTATCACAGCAGACAATCAAGGAAATGTCTCGAAATGCCAGAAATTAGGAATTGCTCAACAGAACAACAAAATCAGTAAAATCCCAAAACAGTAGGGTTTGCATACTTTACCCCAACGACAAATTTTTCAGTGTTTGCTAAAAAATTGAGAATCAACCAGCATACTAACTGGGAAATTGAAAAGAAGAAAAGCAAGAAATTGCAGAAATGAAAGGATATGTGATCAAGATCTGAACTTTGAACAGTGAAATGAAAGAGATGAACTTTAATTAGCAGAGCAGATAAAGAGACTGACCCATCAGATGAAGAACAGGCGGCCGGCGAGGAGGAGGCTACTACGAACAGAACCGATCTCAACTGAACCCAGGAAGTTGGTGTTGATGAAGACGATGAGGAAGAGGGCGACGAAGAATTGGACGGCGTCTGACTCCGTTTGAGAGATTTCATCTACTTGCACAGTAACTGTTCCTCACTACTCAATAATTATAATCTACCAAATCTACAGATTGATTCCTAGGGTTTCAAAATTCAAACCCCATATCTTTTTTCTTCTCTTTTTCAGCTTCCGGCAAAAGAATCTCCCTTTTCTCCGTTGCGCGAAGAACGGCGAGACCATCCACGGCCGTGACGGCGAGTGCTACAGTACCATCCCGAACACAGGTCTCCTTCCTTTTCCACTTGCGCCGCCGCAGGCTAAGATACCTCCGCCGACAGCTTCAACCGGCGCGAAGCAAAAGAAAAAGACGATCTTTATCGATTACCCTCCACCCGGAGCTCCCAGATGCGCCGACGAGCTGAGTGTAAATGGATTCCACCGCACCCAGCTGAACAAAAGCAGCATTCGCTTCCTTCAACTGCTTTTCTTTATTTCTTTACTGTTGGTAAAGAACCCCCTTTTCTTCCTCGTCTAGTTCTTTAACTTTGACGATGATGATGAAGATGATGATTATTTCTTTATGGATTTAATGGGGGGTTTTGCAAATTCTGTTTCTGGACACTGATTACTAGTATAATTATTATCGCCAAGAGTCTCTTTCTTTGTCTCTTCTCTTCAATCACTCACTCTGTAGATTCTTAGGTGGGAGTGTGGTTAAAGAATGGGTCTGCCTTGGTTTGATCTGTTTCTCTCTCTTCTCTCTCTCTCTCTCTAATTGAAGAAAGAGAGTACGGGCCGGCATGGAAGATGATGGTGAAGCTAGTGAGAGAAAGGATATGATCCAGAGAGAGAGACTTGTGGACTCTTTGGACGATTGATACCCACCCAACTTTTGGAAAATTTAAATGAATACCCTTTTTGTTTGTTTAATTCAAAATACTAACCACAACAAACACCAAGTTTGTCTTCTTTTTTTTCTTTTTTCTTTTTCTTTTTCTCTCACTTTTTCTTTTTTAAAGGTGACAAGAACGCAATCACTGCGGGTATTAATTAATGATAACATCGGATTTGTTGTTTGTAACCATATAAATCTAAGTTGGTGTTTGGTTGGAGAGAAGTTGGGAGGGATTAATAATATTAAAATCCTTCCATTCCTTGAATTCTTTTTCCTCACAATACATATTTATTTGAGTGGTCGTTTGGTTAAGTGTCTTTTTTACGCAAAAATCCTTCCAATATTTTTCAATTGCTTGTAGCTTTTTCCAACTCTTTCAAGTTTCTTCAAAATTTTAAATATTTTGGTCAAAATTGACAAAATTTAACCATTAATTAAATTAAATTAATATTAGATACTTATACAAAAATAATTTTATTAGATCTTTTTATAAATTATTT